TCTTCTAACACTTTATTTTGTTGGTCCCCCAAAAGATATTCTACTGACTATAAGTAACGCGACGACAAGTAAACTTATTCTCCTAACCCAAAGCCTAACACCTAACCAGTCTACGGACAGTCTACGATAATATACTAATACTCTAATGAGAGTTACTTGACATGTAGTTGAAAAGTTACTTATAATTAGTAGAACGTCTAAAGTGACTATCGAAATAAAGTGTAACCTTTTGCGATCAATTTATGATTAGAAATAAAATAACATCCACTCAAACGCACAGACAGGGAAGGGTGAGCAACAGACATATTATCAATAATTTAACAATATGATGGTAAACTTTATTGGTAGGAGGAAAACCCCTTGAGATGTGGCATCTCGTTTTCGAGGGGGCCTCAAAAAAACAAAAAAACAAACATACTTCATATACATACATACATACTAACAAAACAAAGACAAAAGACAAAAGCTCTCCATCACACCGAAACCACCCAAAACTTCCCCAGTCCAACCAATGTATATTAGGCAATAAGCAATAAAGGTCAATCGTATAGACAAATTTTTAGAAGGAAAAAAAAAATAAATAAAAAATAAAAATACAATACTGTACACATACATACCAACATACATGTGTATACACTTATACACATGCACACGCATACATATATTTATATATGCATACACACACGTACGTACATCAAGCATGAGGAAAACAGTTGCACCTTGTATGCAAATAATTATTAAGAGACATCTTAAATTGGTGAAAAGAGGAGATCGATCTAAAAGACCTAGGTAAATCATTCCAGTCAGAAGGGGCTTTAAATTTAAAGGCTCTCCTCCCACTTTCTTTAGCTATATTTGGTACAGAAAAGAATAGATGATCAGTGTCTCTTAGACTGTAAGAAGTTTGATAAGGAATCAAGTATTGTTTCAGATAGGGTGGGTAGTTTGAAAAAATGCATTTATGAACAAACTGCAACCAATGATACTGTCGTCTAGCACTTAGTGTAAAAAAATTCAATGACTGATACATTTGACAATGATGAGTTCTAAATGGGCACCTCAAAACAAATCTACAAAGACTATTATAAATCACATTCAGAGGTTTAAGATTAGTAACGGCTGTGTTCTGATAAATAACATCCGCATAATCAATAATAGGTAATAATAGTTGGTTAATTATTTTTAATCTAATCTGCTTTGTAAAACAGTTAATTGAACGATATAACATTCTTAAGCTACAGTTGATATTTTTTACAATAAAGTCGATATGAGGTCTGAAAGTAAGTCGGGAATCAAGCCAAAGCCCCAAATATTTAATCTTATCAACATTCATTAGAGGTGTACCATCCAGAAATTTAACCTGAAAAGAATTATTTTGCTTATGGAGTGCCGACCTGGTTGCAAAAAGAATGTTATAAGTCTTCTTTTTATTCAATAAAAGCAGATTAGAAGAGAACCATGTTTGAATAAGATTTAAATCAAGTTGAAGTGAGGACTGAATCTTAGATATGTCGTTATTAGATGTATATATAACTGTGTCATCTGCATATAAGTGAATTTGACTGTCTAGGCATATTTGTGGGAGTTCATTTATAAAAATAGAAAATAAAAGGGGCCCCAGGGAAGAACCTTGAGGGACACCTGTTTCCATTATTCTAGGCTGGGAGAGAGCAGTACTAAAAGACACACTTTGACGTCTGTAATGAAGATATGAATTAAACCAAAGAACTGCTGATTTAGAAAGACCAATAGCATATAGTTTGTCAAGAAGAATATAGTGATTGACCATGTCAAACGCCTTAGATAGGTCAATAAAGATCGCACCAGTAGACTTGTTAATATCATGAGCAGAAAAAATATCATTAGTAAACTTTGTAAGGGCTGTTGTTGTAGAGTGATTAGGTCTAAATCCAGACTGATTTGGAGTCAAGAGGGAGAAATCATTAATATATTTAGACAGTTGCCTAAAAATAAGTTTTTCAAATATCTTAGCTACATTACTAATTATGGAAATTGGCCTGTAATTGTTGACATCAAGTGAGTCACCACCTTTATGAAGTGGTATTACTTTCGCAAATTTCCACATAACTGGAATTACACAGGTTGAAAGTGATAAATTAAATAAATCGCAAAGAGGAAATGCTAGTACATGAGAAGCAAGTTTAATGAACTTAATGTCCAGACCATCAGGGCCAGCTCCTTTAGACGATTTTATTTCTGAGATTGCCTGTTGAACATCAGAGGGATGAATTAAAGCAAAGGAGAAAGAAATATTGTTTAATGTATTTGTTATGTTAGAATAAAAGAGCTCAGATGATTGAGAACAACAAATCGAAGAAAAGTGTTGATTGAAGGCATTGGCCATTGAGGTAGGATCGCTGATAATGTTATTATTCACTCTAAGTTTGGAAGGAGGACTTGTATTGGTTTTGTTAATTAAAGAGTTAAGTCTCTTCCAAAATTGCTTAGGATTTTTGTGTGATAACGAGTGCTTATAATAATTTGATTTTGCGTTCCTTGTTTTAGTTGTGCAAGCATTTCTTAGTTTCTTATATTCAGACCAATCAGCAGTTTCCTTTGACAATCGATATTTAGCCCAGGCTTTATCTCGTAATTTAAATGAATGTATTAGATCACCGTCTATCCAAGGTAAATGACTACCCTTGACCTTAACAGATATCCAAGGTGAGTGTTTGTCTATGACTTTAAGAACCTCAGAAAGAAAAAAATTCCAAGCGTCTTCAACATAAGGAATTATCTGAAATCTGGACCAGTTTATGCTTATTAAATCTTGGATAAACGCCTCTGAGTTCAGATTATTACACTGCCTTATCCTAATAACTTTAGGTGGCAGACTAGGTAATCTTATTTTCCACACACAAAAAACAATTGAATGATCACTAAAACAATCAGGTAACACACCAGATTGCAAGATTCTGTTTGGGTGGGTAACCAAGATCCAGTCCAGAAGAGACTTAGATTTATTAACTACTCTAGTAGGATCAGTAATGAGTTGAGTAAGATTTAAGCCATTAAATAAATTTTTCTCATAAGTCGACGAACGATCCAACCAATTACGGTTAAAATCACCCAATAAAATCAACTCATTTACATGGTCTAAAGAATTAATAGTAGCAAGAATACAGTTTGTTGATTCAACCGGGGAATTCGGAGGTCTATAGATGTTACCTATAGATATCTGCTTGTTCTCATGAAAAACAATATTAACAAATAAGCATTCAAAATATACAGCTCTCTCCTTAGGCATAATGAGTTCAGAAGATAAGTGAGACGAGATATACGTGGCTACTCCCCCACCACGAGTAGCCCTGTCTGCTCTATACAAAGTATAACCATCAAGTTTAACATCTGCATCGGATATATCACTATTCAACCATGTTTCAGAAAGTGTGATAACACTAGGATTATTGTAAGAAAGCCAAGCTCTTAGCAGATCAATTTTATGTATCAAACTCCTAATATTTAAATGAATAACAAATAAACCTTTACCTATAGTGAATCTTCAAAAATAAATAGATAGAAGGAACGAGGAGAAAAGGGCGAAGGGGAGAGGAGAGCATATCACACAAATATTTACAAACATTTACCCACAAACATATACACGCGCATACCTCTATGCTCAAAGAAAATAAAAATAAAAATAATGCAGACTAAGACCGCAAAATATTAACTGGAGATGCTTTATATATATCCAAAATATCTCCCTGTATACAAACTTCATAGTGAGAAATTCAAGAATGAAAAGTTTACAATATAAGAATCAACAAAATAAGAAGTTTATCAGTCACGGGATACAAATTAAACCAGCCCTAAAGCCGAAAGAGAGTCAAAAAAAAAAAATCCCGTCTAGATATTCTGATGTTGGAAAAATAAAAATAAAATAAGTCGTTTCCACATCTATTAAATCTTCAAGATGTAAACAATTAAGTCACAATTGCGCTACTATTAGCAAACAAACATCAACAACAACAACAACAACCAAAGCCTTGCTGTTCATAGACTAATGTTACCTTAAACAAAACAAAGGTAGTCCGTCATTCAGGTAAAAGTTGTAGTTGTAGTTGTAGTTACTATGAAAGAAGGACAAGTTGTTGTTTTTATTCATATACTAAAACTGTGTTTTATTGTTTGTTGCCTCAGGGCAACACTGCGCAGTTAGAGCACTTCAGAGCATTCAGGTTCTCCTGGGAAGTTTGTTTTTACAAACTTCTTAACAAAAGTATTTTATAATGGAAATATTACCAGGGACCCCAAGCTCCCAAAAAATTGTTTAAAAGTTTTTTTCCCCAAAAAATAAAAAGTCATGCCAGAGAGACGTAGTCATCGCTTGCACCATTCTGTCTTCGTCTGCACATACACTTACCAGAATCATTTTTGTCTCCACGCCTACACACCCTTATTTACCCACACCTGTTCATTGTTATCATCATTGTGCGTGCGTCCGTGTGTCATCCCTGTGTCATCCTATATGTCATCCCTGTATCTGTTTGAAATATATTAGTAAATGTTTAAATCAGAGCCTTTTGACACTGCCTCTTCTTCAGCCTCCACCACACCTGTGACAGAGGGTTTGTCCAACCAATATTTTGAAGAATATTCACTGTGCTCTTTCCCATTTGCCTTACACATAAGTTTTGAACAACATTAGAATGAGGAAATGCTGACAGAATTTTCATTTTTGGATGCACTATCACTTATACTCCTATAATTGTGCACAAATAATATGATTAATAAAATAGAAGACTATTAAAATGAAAACTATTAGAAGTGTGTGCAAAATCTAGTGAACAATGTTTCATGGATATGTTTTATATTTAGGCTTTGTATTGAATGTCAGTTTATCTTACACAATCCACAAATCCTACAGTTTGAGGAGAGTGCAGCAAATATATTAAAACACTACAGACAGGTACAACCAGAAGAACCTGGTCTAAGTCCTCCACGCAGCCAAAAGAAAAAAAAAACCTATTTCAGTCCAGCTCTCACTTCACAGGGGAACAGGTGAGATATCGTTTTAATTATGTTTTACTGTCCTCTTGGAAAGCTTATTTTAAGAAAGCTCTTTAAAGACATTTGAGATTGAATCAAAAACATCATAACTGTTCATAAGTTCAACCTTGTATTTTTTTTTTAGCTTGTTATATAAAGGTTTTAAAGGATGGCATTCTTTCAAAAATTTCTCCAGAAAATTAGTAATGATGACAGTAGCAAAGTAAGTTCACAATATAAACACAATCAATGTTTTGTATGCCAAAGACACATTTAAATACACCTAAACTTCATTACTCATATTAATAATTTGCCCATGATCTGATATTGTAATAGTTTCTGAATGTTTATATCACAGGGTTCTAAAGGAGCTACGGAGACAGCATACTTTGGAACAGTCAAGGCTGATCCAAACTTTAATGCTGAAAATGATGCTGCAAAATTAAAGCAATCCATTGAGACCAAAGGTAAATACCACTTTTTTTTTTATTGGGGGTGGGGTGTTATGCCCCAATGAAATATGGTAATATGAGGACATTTACTGAAGGAAGTTTACTTAAAGGTTTAATTTTTCACAGATGTTTTATGAATCCTAAATTACACATTGCATTGTGTTTTCGGGATAAATGTCACTAAACTTAATGGATAATGTTCTGTTTTACCACAGATTTATTTTTAATGATTATTTTTTACAGTGTATATCAATGCAACGTTAAACATGTCCCTGAGACCTATAGGAATGAGTGTTTTGACAAAGGAATGAAAAACATTGTTCATTTTAAGCAAGACATATGTTGTGTGTGTGTGTGTGTGTGTGTGTGTGTGTGTGTGTGTGTGTGTGTGTGTGTGTGTGTGTGTGTGTGTGTGTGCGTGTGTGTGTGTGTATTCAAGTTTTATATTGTTTATTTTAGAAAAGGTGTGGAGGACACACCCCTGAAAAATGTATTCAAAGAAATAAATAGTTGAAATAACACTAATTCATGTGCACAAAACAGGCTGCACGACAAACATAAATGTTTATGTACCAAGGAATTATTTTGTATTAATCTATAATTCAGGATGTTCATTTGTGTTTTGGTGTTTCTCCCGCTTTCATTTTAATTTTTTGTGACCCATCAGCCTGTGCCATCTAGAGTTTCATGACAGAACTAGGCATACGGGTGAAACTCCAAAAATTTGATTATCGTGCAAAAGTTAATTTATTTCAGTAATTCAACTGAAAAAGTGAAACGATAGATTCATTACATGCAAAGTCAGATATTTCAAGTGTTTGTTATAATTTTGATTATGGCTTACAGCTATGAAAATCTTTTCACAATATTCTAAGTTTGAATTTGGGGTTTTCATAACCTGTAAGCCATAATCATCAAAATTATAACAGATAAAGGCTTGAAATAGCTCACTTTGCATGCATGTACTGAGTCTATAATATATTAGTTTAACTTTTTCAACTTTTGCACTATATTCAAATGTTTGGAGTTTCACCTGTATATTCAAAATATAACATCAGCCTTAATATTTCAACAATATGACAAACTCTTGACTCTTACAATAAAGTCAAAAAAGCTTTTAAAAGTATTTGCTATGGGTGTGTAATGTAAGTTGTAGAACAAAAAGTTCAAGTATTGTCTAGTTGTGTTGTATTGTCTATTGTCTCAATTTTTATTTACCAAAGACCTTAAACTGTAAATGTAAAAAACAAACAAACAAACATCAGTCATAAATCCCCATTTCACGAGAACCAGTTTTGAATTCGTTTTCTGGGTTTTGATGTCATCAATGCATGCAGCGTGTGCAGTGTGCATATCAGATCTAGACTAGTCCACCAAAATCAAATGCATTGACAGAGCTGCTCATTTTTTATGTTGCTTTGTCCTATCATGAAGGTGTGGATGAAGCCACCATTGTAGAGGTTCTAGCAAAGAGAACCAATGCACAAAGACAACAGATCAAAGCAGCTTATCAGCAGAGCACAGGAAAAGTAAGCATATTCACACCTTCCAACAACATGTCTTTGGCCAGTATATGGTGTAATGGTGAGATTGGAGGAATGAATGGAGGAAAATGTAATGTTCTGAGGTTGTCCTTTCATAGATCTCTGTTATTTTTAATTGAAATATGAACTTTTATTCAGATCACCAAAAATTTCTTAAGATGAATAGAAATAAACACAAAACACAGCAAGAGACAAGCACATCAGCGATGTCATGTTAACTGTATTAAACACGATTCATGTTCTGTGCCCATTTTTTTATGATATATGATTGTACCATACCAGTTGTTTAAAAGGTAATGGGCCAATTTAGACTAAATTGACAACATTTTACCAACAGGTGGCACTTTCACCAAACTTTCATGGAACTCTTTTTTCAGTGCATGAAAATATTTGTAAAATACAGCATAACTTTTATATATTTTTATTTCTATGCTTCAGCCTCTGGTAGATGCACTGAAAAAAGCTCTGAAGTCAGATTTTGAAAAGGTGGTCCTTGCTTTGCTGATGACACCACCTGAGTATGATGCTTCTGAAATGAAAAGAGCCATGAAGGTACAGTGTTTTTTTTTTTTCCTCAATAATTCTGTTATTAATTAGTAATAAAAAATATTTGTGTCTTAATATTTCAGTATTTTTAAAAAGAGCATTGTTAGTATTTTAATATTAAAGTTTAACTGATAATCAGGGTCTTGGGACAAATGAGGCAGTCTTAAGTGAAATTCTAGGGACCAGATCAAACAAGGAGATTACAGCATTGAAAAATACTTTCAAAGAAGGTAACAACCCATCCAAATACATGCAAGTCCATAAATGCAGATGTGTCTGTAGCTGTTAACCTCTTTCTGTTGTACAGTCTACGGAGAGATGCTGGAGGAAGTTGTTAAAAGGGAAATTAGTGGACATCTCGAAGCTACCCTGCTTGCTCTTTGCAAGGTACAAAAATACAAATAACAAAAATGAATATTTAGTGTATGTTACTCAAGCAGAAAACTAAATCTGTTATGTTTGCAAAATGAATATCTCATGACTTCAGGCTACCAGGAGTGAAGACTATAAAATTGATGATGGACTTGCAAAGAGTGATGCAAAGGTAATGTGTCAAAGGATTCTACTGCAACATTGTAACAACTCATAATCAATAACACAATAATTGATTTATTCATATGAGCTGAATTTTCTGGGTATAAATAATTTCCTTGTAACCTGTTCTGAATTTGGATTGGTTGGTAGGCATCTGTAAGTATCCCATCCATTGTTTCCATATACCAGTATAGTATATTCTTCTGTTGAAGTTACAAGTCATTGTCATTTGAATTAGGCACCATCAAACAACACAAAACAGTTATTATAAGTGATATTACTTTTGTACAAGAAGTTAATATTGAAACTTAGTTTTCAAAAAGTGCACTACAGAACATCCTGATATGGACATAGTCTGCGTCGACTGAATGGGATCACAGCAGGGAGCTAGTCATCTACGAGTACTATTGAACGAGCCAATGGAATTTGGCGTACGTGACTTGCATCACACACTCCGCCCCCGCGGCGTGGGTATAAATACGGAAGTGGATGCAGACACTGGTTGTTTTTTGCTGAGGAGCCGAGCATAACTCGGAGTCAGTGGTGGTCCAGAAGTAGTGGCAAGGGGACTACGTCCTCCATTCTCTCCTTCAGGGATCGGTGGATTGCATGCGCAACCAGGACATTCCCTTTCAGTATTCAACGTAGTCTACGTTGACTGAATGAGGCAGAGATGGAAGGGCTTGGACCAGGGAAGTCACGACTGTTCCACAGGACTACTGGGAAAGCGTACCCTATCAAGGATGGAAGGATGCTGAAGCAACATCCTGCCCGAAGGGAGGTAACATGCAGAGAGGGCACATATGGACTACGCGGATGACAGGGCAGTACAATATATGGAATTTCACTGGGGTGACTCCAGCCTATAACAGGGGGAAGATCAACCGAACAGTGACGAAGGAAGACACAGGCTTGCCGGAGGGAGCTGTACCATGGAAGAGTACACATGGGATCGCCGTAGGGATCACAGCATATGGACCTAGCCTAACACCGGTTCCACTATTGCATACAAGTGATAGGCCTGGCTTTGAACGTTCTGCCATGTCTGTTGCCGAAGGGTATGGAGGAACTTGACTGGGTTCGGCTAATAAGGGGAACTCTACTGCAGCAAGAATTACGCACTTATCCAGTCCATAAGAAGGGAATGGCGCAGCAAGCCTACACTTCGAACTGGGCTTACAGTGAAACTGGCTTCATGTGGAGCGAGCCCACTTGAAGCAGCGGTACGACACATAGGCTAGTTCTGTAGCGAATGTGATAGGTGTTGCCCAGCCTGCAACTCTATAAACATTTGTTCAGCGAGGCAGTCTTTGTCAACTCCTGGGAGGGAGCAATACTCTCCCTTAGGAGGAGCTCACCACCCAGGTGGGCGCATGCATTTAGGGAAACTTTTTCACCAAAATGAAGGTAACCACATGTAGTAGGCCAACCTCTGCTTAGAAACAGCCTTCCCTTCTACTGGTCTCCATAACAAACAAGAGCTGGTCTGAGGTTCAGGCTTTGCATTCTGAACACGTAAAACCACAATGGAGCAGACAGACAGAGAAAATACAGAGCTGGGTCTCTCTTATATTCATAAGTTTAGCTACAGTAATCTGTTAGGGCAACGGACAAGAAAATTGGTGTGCCCAGCAGGGTAGGCTTAGTAACAAAGACCCTTGGATGGTTGTCTATATACACTAAACAGTGCTGTCAAAATGAATGATTAATCCAAGTGATTCATCAAAAAATAAAAATAACTCTATAATCCTGATTGATATCTTCCTGATTGATCCCTTCCTGGTATGCAGCCTGCCTACTATGCTCAGGGCTCTCAAGTTTTGAAAACAGGCAAGAGTGACAGAATCGCAATTCCAGGATATGCTTTTTTTTTGATTGGCTAATAAGTGGCATGCTCGACTGCAGAACTCGAGGGGAGACACGCTTGATTCCATAGACATTTTAGGAGCTGAGATACATTTTATATATATATATATATATAAATAACAGTTTTTCCGCGTGAGAAATACAAAAGACAATGCGCTCAATGTGTGACATTTGAGAGCCCGGATAATATAGCTAATGGCAACAATATCACATTGCAGGTGCGATGGACAGCATAGAAACCAATTGGACTCGGAATGGTATATGTTTATACTTCTCATCCAACCACAATTAAATGTACTCTATATCCAGATGGCACAATTTATCTGCATAGGTTTTTTATTTTAATGTAAGGAGTAGAAAATACAGATAACTGCGTGAAAATGTAAGGAGTAGAAGTAAAAAGTCGGCTGAAAATAATTACTCCAGTAAAGATACCCAAACTTACCTTACTTTTTCTACTTAAGTAAGGTAACAAAGTATTTGTACTTCATTACTTGACACCTCTGGAAGAGGAACCTAACGATCAAGTCGTGCTTCCCACGGATTTGTATCAGGAGACAGTCCTCACCCCAACCCATTAGCAGGAAAGAAGCACTGAATTTATCGAACACCTTTGGGATTTCATCACGGAGGAAAGACTCAATTCAACTAATAAGCTCCACTTCTAGGGGGAGCATGTCATATTTTTGAGAGGGTGCTCACAGACGTGATGGCCTCTACAGCATAAAATCTTGTGGTTGTAACCAGAACCTCCACGTCCCGTTCTTTTTAAAATCAGACCTGGAACTCTCCAAGGACTAAACGCAGGTACCATCATGCCCCATCCCTGAGAATGTACTCAGAGGAAGGAGTCAGGAAGGGCTGTCGAGAGGAGAGGTCTGGCTGGGCCAATAAGGGGCAAATAGCAAGACTCCATCTCCCCCCTGCTTTAGCACAGTTGTGTGCAAGAAGGCTCACTGGGTAACACACTTCCGCGGGGGCCCAGGGGCCAGCTTTGGCCAGAGTTTTTTTTCTGTGCCAAACTACTGGACTGCCTATGGACGGAGACTCCACTCTCCCTGGGCCATAGGCTGCCGTGAGGCTCGTCAGCGAGTGACGAGTTATTACTGTAATGACAATGACTCCAGGAGACTGACCTCTCTGCGGTAGGCTGACTCTTCGTTGTTGGAGATGAGGCCTATTATGGTGGTGTCGTCCGCATATTTGATGGTTTTGACAGAAGGGTCTCCAAGAGATGCAGTCATTGGTGTACAGTGAGATAGCAAGGGGACAGCACACACCCCTGGGGGGCACCGGTGTTGACTGGTGTTGACTGTGAAAGATGTTGGCCTAGACTGACATACTGAGTCCTGTTGCTGTTGGTGAGGAAGTCTGTAATCCATGAGCAAATATATATATATATATATATATATATATATATATATATATAAATTGGTGTAAAGATTGAGACATTTTTATATAGACCACAACAACCCGCAGTTTTGGTCTATTTAAACATTAGAACATGCGTTTCTTTTACTATTGCCAGTAAATCATCCAGGTGTGCTTTAAAGGAGCTAAACGCAAGTCTCTGAGTTTTTGCAGAACTACGCCCCCTCTGGCGACAAGCGAAACTGCAACCAGAGCTGTGCGCGTTCATGGAGGAACACACATACGCACGTTTGCACGAGCTGTTCATAACCTAAGGAGCACACTGTGCGGCACACATCTTTTGTTACAGTCATAATGAGGTAATCCAGTAAGAAATCTGCAAGTCATTTAAAATATATGAAAGGAAAGGCATTCGAGTAAATTACACACTTATGTGTGTGAGAGGGGGAAACGGGGATAGTAGAAAACTTCGTTTTTTGTTTCCATCTATCTCCCTGTGCTTACTGTATCCACTTATGATTGAATTATTATGGAAACACGTTTAGTTATCACTTTGTATAGGACCCGTTGAGCCCTAGAGCAGACCGGAGATCTCTCCGTTTGTTGAAAGCTTCCCGATGTCGACTCTCGTCTTATTCCGACGCCTGGCACTGGACAGACTGAAGTTTTATTTTCTGTCTCACGCGGAGTTTGCGTTGGGGTTTGTAATGAGCTACAAGCCGGTCTCTTTCCGCGCCATATACAGATTAAATGAAGTACACGTCACCGAAAGCAACAGATATGAGCTGGATTTTATTTATCATCGGCTAATTTCGAAATCAGCAAAGACGGCAATAAGAGAGATCGGCAACAGGCCTGGTAAGATCAGTTCATTTCTTTACTTTTAATGAAGATGGTAGTGTTAAGCGTCTGCGACTTACTTTCACTTTGATTTGCGATAGATTGCGGCGCTGACTTGATGAAGGGGCTCAGCTCAGCTGCTCATCTGAGGTGATGCGCGTCGTCATATATGACTAAAATAACATGACATAACCTGTAGCTTGGTTTCAACAACCAGATGCATTTACACTTGTCCAGTTTCGTCTGGAATGCGGCCCAGACCACGTCCTCAAGTGGTTTGAGCGATCGGATTCAAATCCGTCTCGAATGCGTTTCGGAGGGCATTTATTAGGCTACACCCTTGTCTTTTCACGGTCGAATAGCTATCCGATCACAGAAAACGCATGAAGTGACCAGGTGTAAACAGCCCCTTTGAATCCATCGTCTACTTTTGTGGAAAGCTGACTAGAGTTGTGTCGCTCGAGTTGTCTTCTCTGATACGGAGAACGGCGGCGAATAGCTCCACGAATCTGCCATATAGCCGGGCGAGCGTGAACGCGCATGACGTCACGCCCAGTCTCAGATTCGAGCCCGAATCCCTCTTATATATTTCACTGAACAGGATTATAGAGGCGATCGCAGTGATCAAAGAAGGGCTCATTCAGCCCATCAGGCGATTGTTTAAGCATGTATGGGTTAGAAAACGGCTATTTTTAACATGAAAAGTTGCGCAATGCACCTTTAATAAGGTGTTGTTAGGCTAAGTGTATTTCACCTATGTGTGCTTTTATGAGCATGATTGTCCAGATGTGTTTTGTGAAGTTGTCATTGCATTTCATCCTGTTTGTGTGCGTGCTCGCGTTTTATGTTTTGCAACTGCAGTTATGCTCACGTAAATAAAATAACGAAAATCAAATATAACTTTTCAGGTATTGCATTTAATAGGCAAGTTTGCCAAAGGGCTATGTTTTTAATTAAGTTCATTTAATGCATTTAAATGAATAAAAAGAACAGACCTATTCAGAATCACCCCGAAATAACTTCTATTTACAGTCCTAGTTACTTTAATTTATCCATTTATTCCAGATATTAATTACAAAGTACAAACAGAAAGCAAGTAGCCTACAGAGACATTTTATGTCTGAGCGGGATCTGAGCGGGATTTGTTTTACCGGTGAGCGTGAGCGATTCATCAGTGGAGCGTTCGCTTGGAACGCGAGCGACTGAGTAGAGCGCACTCGCATAGAGCGGAATATTGAGCGGAATAATATCGCTCACATGCTCTGGTCGTGACCCATCTCACTAGGGTACCAATATCCAAGAGTGTGTGCGGAGTTTGGAGCACGCACTGGATGGCAAACAGGCGTGGGTGCGCCTTTCCCATCAACAGTGGAATCAACTTAAAATACCCTATCATTTCTGGTTATACAGAAAATAATAATACATTATTCGCAACTACTTTTATTTGCTTAAATGTCACAATAACAAGAAAATGTTGTGCTTTTGTAAAATAACATAAAACAATCAGGCGCGCTTTATGATCTTCGTGAACTGGAGCGCGAGAACTGAAACAATAGACTAAAGCTTGAAATGTCCACTTTAAAAAGAACAAATTCGAATCGTAAACTAATGCCTTCTGATTATGTAATCCGTATGAAAGATGCCGTTCTCTCTAAAGCTGCATCCGGAAATTATATTTTTAGCTCGTTATTTTTTCAGACGCATAACTCACCTATCACTGCGGGAAAAATATCATAAATATCCATGTTCCAATTTGGCCTTAGAAAACCAGTAAAATCTACATTTTTTCCCATATTCATTTGTGAATATTTTAAATGTTTTAAAGGGGGCAAAAAGTCATAAACAAATATCTGAAATTTCGTTGAGATGTATATAGCGCAGCATTGGTGTGGTCAAACTTAAATGTTGTTGTTCAACTTTGCGTTTTAAAAATACAACAACCGTTCATTTTGTTCGTTTTGCAACGACCGTTTGGACATAATACGAGATAGAGTTCTTTATTAAATTCATTTAAAAAAAACAACAACAAAAAAACAATAATTATAGGAATAGCCTCTCTAAACCTCAAAGAAATGGCGTCAAGACATCGAAGCACAAATGAGGGAGAAACACCAGGAACTCCGTGTCTTTCCCTGCCATTAATGCTTGGATAACACACCACGTCTCCTTCCATTAATAATAATAATGTCTAGTGCGGTGCATGGCTGTGAAATAGGTTATAAACCTACCAAAGTCTGTTGCTATGATTTTTTGACTTTTTTGACTTATCGTGAGAGGGAAAAAAGAAGTTTTAGTCGCATAACATCGGTTAATTGAAACACCATCATTTCACAATAGTTTTTTATCAACATTTGGAAAATATCGCAAAAGTTTTGCACAAATCTGTAATGGAAACGCGCCTGGCGCACTCGCTCGTTGTAAACAACAGCACTCTTTAGAGACATAAAATGATAGGCTCCGAAGCGATAGGCAACTAGTGCGTGCATCCACTTCCATACCTTGAACCTTAGCTGTCTGTCATTACCATTGTTGAACCCTGCTGTATAGCTATGTTGTGATCAACTGATAGATAACAGCTGAGAGAGTTCTGTCTTTGCGGGTTTAAGCTAAAGGTACAGATGTCTGAGTAGAAGGTGAGAAGCAAGCTGAACAGCACTGCTACATGTTGTCAGGCATGGGCAACATGTACTATTAGCAGTGATAGCTGTGTGCCTTTATATCTGAGCTCAGTGACGTTTTGCATATTGAGAAGAGGAGGGGGCCAAACACTGAAACCTGAGGCACCCCAATCAAGATCCTGTGATGGACAAGAACATGTCAAGCTCTTTGCTGAAGTTGCTCAGTTGACCTAGAGAACATGTTGCCTTGTTGATTTTCTTGTTCAGTGGACAGGAAAACACAAGCTGTTCACTCAAGCAGGCTTTACAACAAGGTTTACAAATACTGTAAAATAGAACGTAGATGTGTGCATTATAGGTTGTAATAACCCGAAAGTGTGTAAGGTCATGTAAGTGCCAGTATATTGATGTGCATGTAAACCCCTGTCTCTGACTTCATTGTTTTCTCAGGCTCTATTTGATGCAGGAGAGAATCGGGTTGGTACTGTTTGCTCTGTCCTGATTGATGTCCTTACATCCAGGAGTGAATCTCAGCTGTGCAAAAGTAAGTTGAAGACGACTTATGAAAGAATATAGATGTTGCATTTATGATAGTTGACTATTTTTTTAGGCACCATCAATGTTATTTAAAATGTTTTTTTTTTTTTTTGCAGTTTTCCAGTATTATGGCCAATACAGCAAGAAGGGTTTAGCCAAAGTTCTGGAGAGTGAGCTGCATGGAAACTTTGAAGAATGTCTGATGACGCTGGGTAAGGAAACAAGTGCTCATTTAAGGTGTGCATTTATGTGGGTGTGTGCAAGAGATTTAGACATGTGATTAAGTGGTCGAAAGACTATTCAAAGCAGAGCAACTTTTTAGGAAGCTTGTTTTTCCAGCTCTGCATGTTGAGAGGGTGGATCCAAACAGTATAGAAACCAAAAAGTTACCACACAAAACTTTATCACACAAAGATTGGTACAAAGATACAATAGAAACTAAATCGAGCAGTAAAAAGTCACATCTTCGGTTTGTGCACATAAAAACCTCACAATGTTCTTGTTTTCATGTTTAGTGAAGTCTGCATGGAACAAACCTGCCTTGTTTGCAGAAAAGCTCCAACTGGCAATGAAGGTAAAGTTGCAAAGGAATGTACAGTACGGAATGTCCATGTAGTTACTAGCAATACATGGTAGTACTGCACATGTTTTTGATATACTCAAACAATTATTTATTTATTTTCACGTGAATTTAAAGGGGATTAAAATGCATTTCAGATCTTTATATTATGCAGAATTGTAAAGTCCAGGGTCAGAAAGTAAAAGTCCTGCCATATGTTTATTCCACCCATGAACTCAGCCAGTTGATTTCACTAATTAGTTCTATCTCTAGATAGAACATAACACTGAGAACTTTTTGCTGTCTGAACCTGGACTTTAGACTTCTGAAATTATTTTTTTTTTGATGGTTAGCTTATGATGTTTGTAAAGAAATTGAGCCAAAAAAGTTGAAATATTAGTAAGTATATATATATATATATATATATATGAAAATGAGGATGGAAAATAACAATATATATTGGAGCCTTTAAACTGGGGAGTTTGCTTTGAGGTATAAAAAGTAGTTATCTTAGAGTAAAACTTTATTTGTAAAATATTAAGGACATTTTGATTTTCCATTTCATAACCCTAATTTTGGACTTCTAGGGTTTAGGAACCAACACTGACACACTGACTAGAATCATTGTTAGCCGTTCAGAAATTGACCTGCTTAAAATCATTCAAGAATACAAGAGGATGTATGGCAAAACCCTTCAGGAGGACATTCTGGTAAGTCTTCATAATTTCAAAAAGCTCTAACCAACTAGCTGAAAGTTAACATAAAATAAAATAAAATAAAACAAAAAAAAGCCCAGCATCTGTTATGGAATGAAACAGTCACTATTCACAATCCATTCCAATTTAATTCAATCAACCCCTTTCTACATTTATTTTCTTATTGTGTATTTCTGCTTGCTCCATCATGCTGTCCTATGAAATACAATAGTAGTCCAATTTAAGTATATCTGGTTTTACAGAAGGAAACAAGTGGAGATTATGAGAAGATTCTGCTGACTCTCTGTGGAACTCAATAATCATCTTGTGCATGTACAGTATGTGAACTTTCATTAGGCTACATGGTCCATGTCAGCACCAGTGTATCTCCCAATAGTTGTCTCATGTAAAGTGTTTTTAATTTAAATATGGAATAAATATCAATTGTGCACACTCTAAATGTTTAATATTGTATTTGTAATTGTAAATCCTGATGAATATATTGGTTTCTTTACCATGTGAGAACTCAGGGGTGCACTTTGACCTGATCTATGAATCTATTGTCTTAATTAAAGAGACAAATACATGTTCCATAAATTGTTGGAATAAACTAGCAACATTTAGTGAACAATATCATTTCCTATGTGTTTTAGATTAGGTTTAGGGACGGGCAAACTCTGTCTTGGAGGGTCAGTGTTCTGGAGGGCCAATGCCCTGCAAAGTTTTGCTTCATCGCGAGTTTGCCCATCCCTGGATTAGACAACTGGTAAAGTACAGTAAAAGATAGATTATCAAGTCTTACAGACAGGCTCAACCAGAACAACCTGGTCTAACACCACCTCTACCCAGCCCAAAGTCTTTCGGTGGGTGTGTACAAGGAATAAAAAGACAAGTTCTTTTCCCAAAATTACTCATCTCAGATCAGCTCTCACAGACTTCACAGAGTAACAAGTGAGTTGTCTTTGTAAATTGATTTAACTGCATGTGCTCTACTAGAAAATGTCGTGCAACATGCAATTGATGACTGATGTAATTGAAATGAGAATCTAGATTTACACATCTGGGGATGGTTATAAGCTCATCCTTATGCATTTGCTTAGTTCTTTATAGCTTCCTCAAAGCTCTCAAGATGGCATTTTTCCAGAAATTATTCGAACAAGTTAATGATGACAAGGTAAGTAAAATTATTTCCTTCATTATGGTCAGTCAAAAGGATAAATGTTTAGGTTGGTCTGCTGTAGGTGATGACTAACTTAGGTCCGCCTCAAAAGAAACCTATCACTACTAATTTGTACTTGCATTTGTTGCTACATGTTTTATCTTAGGGCTTTAAACCTGCTCCTGCTTTTGAGACGGGATACTTTGGAACAGTCCGGGCTGATCCAAACTTTAATGTCCAGAATGATGTTGCAAAATTAAAGAAAGCTATTGAGACCAAAGGTAAAATAGAGATCCTGCTAAATACATGCAAAATGCAAATGTAACATGCTCTCATGTTCCTGATACAGGTATTGAGAAAAATCAAGTAAAATTCAAATGAATGAGACTCTACATATGTTTTGCTTTGTTGCATGAATGGCACCACACCCCACCAATTATGTCATACCAGGAAGAATGATAAAATACTTTTACCCAATACACAGCTCTCTACTCTAAAAATGGGTTGCTTTAACCCAACTTTGGGTCAAATATGGACAAGCCCAGCCATTGGGTTAAGTTTTTTAATTACATTTTTAACCCAATATTTGGGTTTGTCCATATTTGACCCAAAGTTGGTTTAAAACAACCCAGCATTTTTTAGAGTGTATGTTATCTGTGATTTATACTCCTGGTATCAAGTTATATTATACCATTATAACAAGATCCACCAGTACTTTTGGAGTATGACCTGTACTCTGCTTTTAATGTGATAAACTGATATGATTTTGGTCTTTTTTCCTCTCATGAAGGTGTGGATGAAGCAACCATTGTGGAGGTTCTAGCAAAGAGGAGCAATGCACAAAGACAACAATTGAAAGAAGCTTATCAGCAGAGCACAGGAAAAGTAAGTATATTCACATCCTTCAAAATCTTTTAGCTAGATAAAAATACAATTAAACTAAATTAGACTAAATTAAATTAATTCAATATTCAGCATCCGTTTGAATGTGATTGTGTTTTCCATTTTTTTTTTTACTGTACCAATCTTTTTCGTCAACCCTTGAACTTGACATGAAACAATACAGATGAATGAGCCAAGTAATTTATCTATATGTCCCAGTCAAATCCATGCTAGAGGAACACACTCATTTGTTGTTTGTTTCTTCACTTGTTTTGTGCTTATATCTTTTGTTTTATCATAAATTCTCAGCCTCTGGTAGATGCACTGAAAAAAGCTCTGAAGTCAGATTTTGAAGAGGTGGTCCTTGCTTTGCTGATGACACCGCCTGAGTATGATGCTTTTGAAATGAAAAGAGCCATGAAGGTACAACTTACTAGTCTTATGTAGATTTTATTCAAAGACTTACAGTAATGTACTTAAATCTAAATACTAAAATTGTATTGATAATCAGGGTCTTGGGACAAATGAAGCTGTCTTAAATGAAATTATGGGGACCAGATCAAACAAGGAGATCACAGCATTGAAGAATGCATTCAAAGAAGGTAACAAGAAAGATAAAAAACATATTTTCCTCAAGCAGATGTATGTTTATGCTGCTAACCTCTTTCTGTTTTACAGTATATGGAGAGATGCTGGAGGAAAACATTAAATGTGAAGTTAAAGGTCATCTTGAGACTGCCCTAGTTGCCCTTTGCAAGGTACAAAACATAGTTCAGTGTAATTGTTGTAACGGCGTAAGAAATGTTATGTGTATTAATAATGATATATTACTAGAGACCATTTTGCAAGATGTAAACAACACTGGTCCAGAAGCACTTCCTGTTTCAGTTTTTTAACACTACATAAAGGCAGGGATAAAATACAACCAACAGAACATATAAAACTGAATCAAAAAGTTAAACAAACATCTTTAAGATGTTTTCTTTACACGTGAACTGAAACAGGAAGTGTTTCTGGACCAGTGTTGTTTACATCTTGCAAAATGGTCTATATCAATATCTTTTAACTTCATCAGGCTACCAGAAGTGAAGACCGTAACATTGATGATGGAGTGGCTAAGAGTGATGCAAAGGTAAATATTCTTTACTTATACTGTGGCCAGTGAAGTATGTAAGATTTAATTAAACGTACCAAAGTTGCGAGATGGTCCCAGTTATAGAAGCTTTTCTAACTGAAATGAAAAACAAGCGCAAATACAGTTATACAGTTATCCATTACACAGTTTTGAAGTCACGATAAAAATATCTGACAAATGCTAGACCAAGCAGACAGCCATGCAATAAGCATTATAAATTGAAACAGTGTAGGTACTGTCTCTGACATTGATATGTTGTTGTTTTAGGCTCTCTTTCAGGCAGGAGAGAATAGAATTGGGACTGTTTGCTCTGTTCTGATTGACATCCTCACAAACAGGAGTGAAGCTCAGTTGTGCAAAAGTAAGTCAAGCACTCTTCTTCAAAGATAGTTTACTTTTAATATATGTCATTCTGGTGTACTCCAGCCCATGTTTCACGAGGCACTAACGGTGTTATCTAAAATGTACAGTTTTACAGTATTATAGCCAGTTGAGCAAAGACGGTTTGGCCAAAGATTTGGAGGGTGAGCTGCATGGAAGCTTTGAAGACTGCCTGATGACCTTGGGTAAATCTACAGTACAAGCCTTCATTTTAATCTGTGTATCTGTGGGTGTGTCAAAGAGTAGTTTCTCTTTAAATTGTTACATGCTTCAGTGGCCATCTGTATGAAAGCAGCACCATAAAAACCTGTTCTAAAGCAAGTTTTTTTTCTAGCTTTGTGTGTGAGGGTGGTTTTATTCTCACACTCAAAAACATTGCAACCAGATACAAATATCCAAGAGTAACTAAATTGAAAAAGGTTCTTGCAAAAGCTGTTCTCACTGTCTTTTTTTCATGTTATAGTGAAGTCTGCTTGGAACAAACCTGCCTACTTCGCAGAAAAGCTTCAACTGGCTATGAAGGTAAAGCTGCAAGTTTTAGCTTAAAAACTTTATCTTAAGTTTTTAATCTAAAACTTACATTTAATTCTGTTACTTTCAGAGTCTGTTTATTATCTGGTCCAAGGACCAAAGTTACTGGAACCCTTTTGTATTTCTGGAGATTTTCAAATTAGTCTCTTTCTGGTCTGAAGTGTGTCCATCAGGGCGTCGGACTCTTGGTGGAAAAAATTAGTTTGTCCAACTCTAGTTATCTCTATGATAAGCAAATTTACGTTCTCACAAATTGGTCAGAGCAAGTTTAAAATTAGAGTTTTTTTTTTTTTTTTTTTTTTAATTCTAAGATTATATAAAGGGTTAGTTCACCCAAAAATGAAAATGATGTCAATAATGACTCACCCTCATGTCGTCAAGCCCGTAAGACCTCCGTTCATCTTCGGAACACAGTTCAAGATATTTTATATTTAGTCCGAGAATTTTCTGTCCCTCCATTAAAAATGTATAATGGTATACTGTCCTTGTCCAGAAAGGAAATGAAGACATCATCAAAGTAGTCCACGTGACACCAGTGGGTTAGTCAGAATTTTTGAAGCATCGAAAATACATTTTGGTGCAAAAATAACAAAAACCAAGACTAATTACCATACTATTCTCTTCCGGTTCTGTTGTCAAGCCGCGTTCCGGCCAACAACGACCTAATCTGTAAGAAATCAAAAAGACATAAGTACTCGGTCATTCGACTTTTGGTCGATAATAATCTATTTTGTATAATCTATTTTTAACTTGCGAAATCAACAATAAAATCTACGTTGATTCAACTACAAGCAGGAGAAAGGGATATATTTAGCCGTCTAGCTCCATAGACTCCCATTCATTCTGCACTCGCCCGCGATCACCTCCAGTGGAATTCTAATGGAACTGCAACCAAGATGATATAAAACGGGGCTAATAGGAAGTGGCAAGACTCTCCATAGATGGACTCTGCTAGAGACTAATTTCAAACTAAGCTCAACCCTGAATCCCATGGCTTTACTTTTTTTTCCAATAAATTAATAAGTAAAAAAAATTTTAAAAAAATCTGCCATTGTATTGCTACCTTATGAATATTGACAAATGTATCTCTAATATGATCTTGCTTTATAGGGAGTGGGAACCACCACTGACACACTAACTAGAATTATTGTGAGCCGTTCAGAAATTGACCTGCTGAAAATCCTTCAAGAATACAAGAGGATATATGGCAAAACCCTTCAGGAGGACGTTCTGGTGAGTCTCTGCAATTCATAATTGGTGATCTGAAAAACTTCTGAATTAAATTTCACATTCTTAGATCCATCATATTTAAAACCAGCATATCTGAATGAAAAGTGGCTTCTGTGTTTGGTTTTTACAGAAGGAAACAAGTGGAGATTATGAAAAGATCCTGCTGGCGCTCTGTGGCACTCAATAAATACATCTGATAGCTCATTACATGGGTGTATTCATGACCCATATACAGTAAACACTTAATCTCTCAGGTGTGGCTCTTCCGGAGTATTTCATTAAAACTTTTTTTGCAACTCACTGTGTCATAGATTTCTTTGACCAATACATAAATAGGCCTGTGGTTTAAATGTTTCAGGACACTTTAGTAACTTTCATGATTAGCTAAGAAAATGGATCTATAATGTACCCACATAATTAAATGACTCTTAAAGAAGTTCATGTATATTCAAATATGATTTTCAATGTTTTATGACAGTTAACTGTCACATTTGGTTCTGGATTTTGGTGTACCTTTGTTTCATGTCTTTCATTTTTAAAATAGCAGTCATGTTTCTTGTCATGTGACTTCCTTGCCCTCATGTGATCTTGATTTGTGCTTCTCTTGTCTTGTGTGTCATGTTATGATTGGTTGATCATCTTTACTGTTCACCAGTGTGATCAACCAATCATAAAATGACACATAAGACAAGGAAGTCACATGACAAGAAACCAGGGGCACGGTCAAGCTCAAACTGGTGTTTTACTGCGGTTTCCGGGTTGAACGTCATGTTTCCTGGAAATGGTGTGCAACAGGGTTTGAGATACGTTTTCTTTTTTACGTTTTCTCTGTATGGTGGGTGTGTCAAAAATGTCAGCCCAATCAGCAGCAACATGTAAACCACGCTGCATTAAAGAGACCGCTCGCACAATGGTTCCAAATAAAGTCGTTTACAAATGTGTCAGCTGCTGCAGTTTGGTATACACAACAATTGGTATACAAACCATAACACAGTCTCAGAGGTACGAAGTATCCTTCACCTGAAAAGTTTATCTTTTCATCCTGAAATATGAGGCAAATTTTGGATCATAATAATTTGAAGAGTTCAGATGCAAAAGCCTCTAAATGGCATTTGAAATTTTCTTCTAAAATGACCATTTTTATCAAGCTTGTATAAGTTCAGTAATTTCACTTAAATGGCAATAAAGATTATCTATTAATTGTCATTTAAGTGAAATTACTGAACTTAAATATATAAGCTTGATAAAAATGGTCATTTTAGAAGAAAATTTCAAATGGCATTTAGAGGCTTTTGCATCTGAACTCTTCATTTGGAAACCACACTTTCCACAAATCCATCGACTCGATTGGGATGTTCTCTTTTATTCTGGATAACAAGGGCAGTGACTGTGACATAGAGTGTATTTTGCAGTAAGTTTAAAATATTCTAACTGACCCCCCCCCCCCCCCCCCAGCGTGAGTTTTTCAAGGCGACCGTTATTTAGAACTTGCCACTTTAATGTTTCCATGGTGACGCGTCATTGCTTGTCACGTGACGGTGACACAGCACAACCAGAAACGAGCGCGGATGATCTGCTTTTATGTAATTTTTTCCTTTTTTATTAAAAATATTCTAAAATGTATTAGCTATATCATGAAACACTGATATTCCGATTGTCAAATATGTGCAAGTGGATGGGTTTTGTTGTTTAGACATCTTTATAACGATCGCGTTAGTTGAGCTGTATGCACAATGGGCGGCGCCATTTTAGTTTCTTTTTCAGTTCAGAGAATCGCGGATCTACGTTGGATTTATAACGTCAATTCCTCCACTTCTCACGAAATACATGATAGTAAGTGGCTGGTGAACTGGGAGAAGAATAGGGTCAAATGTTAAGCTACTTACACAATCGTGTATCTGATATGAATAAAACGTGTCGTCTTATAATTGAAAGGATTATTATTGCCGCTTCCATAGACATCTGTGTGTATTTTACAAACTCAAAATCATTGTTTTGCTAGTACATACATTTAAATGTCTGAAACCTAAAATAAACATTATGTGGTTGAAAACACTCAATAGTTGTGATATATGACAGCACTGAGTGCGTCTGTCTCTGGCTGAGGGCAAGCCAACGTGCGAGAGCAAGTTTGAATTTAGCAGTTGCTGACGTGATGCACTGAACGTTCTAATCACACCGGTGTGATTAGTGGGGCAGTTAAGCGCAAAAATCGATCACGTTGCGATAAAAGCATCAAATTTGGTAGGAAGGCTCACAAAGGGGGTCTGATCAGATTCAGGACCGTAGGCGCTTGAAATTTGACCCCTGGGGGTCATGGCGGACATTTTTCAAAATGGCCGCCAAATATGGATTTCGTAATGGGAAAATGGATTAAAAGCTGCCAGAAACATAAAATAAAATAACACATTTCACCATAATACATGTAAATATAGGCACACTTTCACATAGAAGATCTTTAAACTTTAAAATATAAGATATGTTTGAAAATTTGCTCCTGTAATACTAAATATTATTATATGGGTTCATGAATTATCTGTAAATTCATGTTGTGATCAAAATTAAACATCATAGTGACAAGTGATTAAGAGCTGATCTTTTATCTTTTTGCCTCTTGCACCATTCATCAAAGCTCAGCACATCACTGGAGGAATGCATATTCATGTAATTATCATATGCAGCACGTTGCAAAATGTACAATGCAGCCTCTGTTACTTCTCTTCGTATGAGCAACATGGGCCACTTTTAAGAAAGAGTCAGCTGTGCCTGTTGTGGTAATGTCTGCTTGAACAAGAGCCTCTACCCAACCACTTCCTTGGTCCTCAAGAATGCCATCTCAATGTGGAGACCCCCTAAAAAGAATCACAATTTCACCATATCTACGCCTTATTCACGGCAGCGCCATCTTTGATTTTTAATGAGAATGAAAGCGAGGCTGTGAGGGATAGTCATGCATCTCTTCAATGGGCTGTACTGTTATTTAATGTGTTTTCAGATTGTTCTGCTTATGAAACACTGGAAAAACATCTTTCCAAGAAATTTCAGTTGACAAAAAACTCCCTACAATGTAAGCTGTGGAAAATTGTAAGTAATCTAGGAGCTTTATTCAGCTTTTTACAGCAGATGCCATTGGAAACACGGTAAGTCTATCCCTCACAGCCTCACTTTCATACCTGTCATGGCGCTGCTCTGAATAAGGTCTATTTGGCCACTTCCACTGTATTGGCCAAGGCAAATAGTGGCTGGTCAAAGGGGTTCACAGGGGTTTGCTCTGGATGCAAATGATTAATTGCATTTCTGATGACATCCATTGAGTGCCTGATCATTGCAACTGTGTGCATGATGTAATGCAGGTGGCATCAATGTCCAGTGACTGCTGAGTTGCATGGTATGCAGCCCGTGACAAATCACTGAGATCTCCAGCTTTGTCACTTGTTGATCTGACATATTCTGTCCATTCAAACTCCTGCTTAATATACCCAGCATTGTGCCTGCTCAAGGACTTAACATGGGATGATGGTACAGATGAGGTCTTAATGTTGTAGTTGACAGGGAAGACATCTGTATAGTTTTGAGGCAAAGGGTAGATTGTTTTTGAAGCATCATGGCTTATGAGATGAAACAATGTTTCGACTCACTCCTTACCTCTCTGAAGACGGATGTTGAAAGAGGGAGATGGAGGTTCCGTGAAAAGAATTCTTAGCTGTTGTTGAAGATGGATCATGATCAACATTATCAATAGCTGCAGTTGTGAATAGATTACCCCTCCATCATTAGTTGACAGACCACATGTGGACAGTTTTCATCTCTATACAACATGATATAGCCAGCAGCCATATCACCCTGTGGCCCAAGACTGGTTGCCCACTGAAGCTAAGCAGGGCTGAGCTTGGTTAGTACCTGGATGGGAGACCTTCTGAGAAAGCCACTTTGCTGCTGGAAGAGGTGTTTGTGAGGCCAGCAAGGGGCACTCACCCTGTGGTCTGTGTGGGTCCTAACACCCCAGTAAAGTGTTGGGGACACTATACTGTCGTGATGAGACGTTTAACCGAGGCCCTGACTCTCTGTGGTCATTAAAAATCCCAGGATGTCTTTCGAAAGAGTAGGAGTGTAACCCCGGCATCCTGGCCAAATCAAATTTGCCCAGTGGCCTTTGTCCATCATGGCCTCCTAATCATCTATATATATATATATATATATATATACCAATTGGCTTCATCACTCTGTCTCCTCTCCACCAGTAAGCTGGTGTGTGGTGAGCGTTCTGGCACAATATGGCTGCCGTCGCATCATCCAAGTGGATGCTGCACACTAGTGGTGGTTGAGGAGATTCCCCTCTCTATGTAAAGCGCTTTGAGTGCTGAAAAAAGCGCTATATAAATGTAATGAATTATTATCATTAATAAGGTTATGCAAAGACCATACTAGATACATCTGGTCCTAACTGCTCTTCACCTGGTGAGGTGTCATTTGGGATGTAGCCCTATTTTACAAAGAGGCCAAACATTTGGAATGATACTTGGCCTCTAAAGCCACCATGTCACCTCCACTGAGCTGTGCCAGAAGCTTGATGTCATTGAGGACAATGGCACACTTTCAAACTTTTTCATCAATTTGAAATGTAGCAGCCTTATGAAGTCTCTCACTACCTGCAGGTTCTCCACATTAAGTCTTATCGATGTCATCACTGAATGAGGTTTTTAAAACTTAATTTTTATTCATTTTCTAGTGTCATGCTCATCAGTTGTAGAAGCTCTCTTCTCAGCTCTTTGTAGCATTTGATTGTTGAATCTAAGGCGACATGTATAATTTGTGATATTTTGCATTGTTCCTAATAAATGTGGCCTCTATACCTTGCCCTTTATCTAACTGTGCAATCTGTAAAGATATCGTTGTTTAAGTTAATCAAATTTTAATAGATTCTCTGCCAGATTTTTGTAATGTTCAGTATTGACCTGCCATTGGCAATTTGATGGGCATCTGAGTGGCTCTTGAGTATTATTCTCACAAATGAAACACAGTTCCCAGTCAGTTATTTGTGTTGGGGGATCAGTATATCCAGGATTAAATAATTTGAAGGTTTTAGTCATTGCATTGGATCAAAGTAGTTCTTGTGTAGTGGTCTAATTGTGGTAATCATGCTAACCGTGCTAATTTACGTTTTTCTTGTGAGGAAAACGTCTCGGTTACGTATGTAACCCTCGTTCCCTGAGTAGGGAACGGAGACGTTACGTCAGAAGTGACGGAGATTGGGGGGATTTCGCATAGAAAGCCAATCCTCTTCGAGTATTTAAACACGA